TATATATGACTGAAATTCCCCGCCAAACCAATAACAACAGGTAATTAATTTTGGGGGGAACAGAAAGCAATTATTCTACCCCAACTAACCTGGTTCCGACGAGGCCAATGCCATTTTTTGCTGCTTGCGCCGATATGCTTCTTGGCGAGCAGCGTGTATTCTGTTCAGCTTCATCCGCTCCCGTTCCCTTTCTTGCTTTTTACGCGTATAGTTCGAGACAGTTGGAGGAGGAGTACCAGAATTGTACTTTCTCTTCTGAAAAAAGAGCTTCAGAAACATTGCGGACTGATTTGGATTAAGCGCTAGGTAGAAAGGAAGGCTCCCAGAAAGTTTTCACACTTTGCGAACGCCTTCACAATACTTTGAAACGCCCAATAACTCGGTCAACTTTGCAAGGACCCAGTCACTCAACATCAAACCCTTACACGCAAACGTTGGAATGAAAGCTAATAAAAATGACAGGAATACCAAATAAACAACGAACAGGCCTCTCGGGAGTTTTGGCGCTCCCACAGAAGAAAACGACTAACTATGATGATTCCCTCGCAAAGCCTACTCTACTTAATTTTGCGATGATACAGCTACTCAACTCTCACGTTTCTTCTGGTCATGTGATTCTTAAAATGGTTCCCATTATTCCTTCAGATGACCAGTAAAACATAGAAACTACCTAATTGCAAGAGTTACGAGATTAAGGAATTGCACAAGAAAGTAGAACTTCAAAGACTTGTTTTGCGACAGCGTCGAAAAATTGTACGAGCTGGATTGAGCATGTGCTAGCTGAGCTGCTCATGAAGGAAAACAGAACTGTCAAGAAGCTTCTAATGAGACACTCTATTTCGAGCAAGAGACGCTGGTTTTTTTTGAGGATTTCGGACAAGAGAATGGACGATAGCAGCGAGATAGCACGTAAAAGAGCAAGACGACAGATACAAGTACCAAGGCAGGCAGACTCAATGGACGTCTAGGTAAAGTCATTGAGCAACTGTGCGCCCTAACCTTCCACCCACATGACTTTCTGACGCAAAACTTAGAGATTTTTGCCAACCGCTGCCCACTATACCTTCGTCCTCACAGAGCTCTGATTCTTGAGTGGTCGTGGAATGTTTCCTTGAACTCCCCCCCCCTCCTCAACTGCGACCAAAAAATATTATGCAGATTAATCCCGTACCTCCTTTTCTGATGCGACTCATTCCTCCAAATTGATACCAAAAGATCAGACTTCTCTCCAAGCTCTTCCACCAGTTCCTTTCATTAGTTTCAATCTTTTTTTCACCATTGCATTGGCTTATACCTAGTTTGAATTCCAATGTCAAAAGGCTTTACAAAGGTCGGAACTATCTCTTTGGGATCTTCTATCGTTGGATTCTGCAAGCATGACAACTCTGTTATGTAAGACCACTCGGCTCGCCGGCCGACGCTGGCGCGCCTCCTTCCGTGATACGGCCCGGCTTCGCCGGGCGGGCGCGGCTTCGCCGCGCTTACCTCCTTCTACACTGGATACTCAACAATTACCCGGCTTTAACGCTCACTGAGTAATAACATCATACCTACTTTTCGACACTACTACCGTCTATGAAATGGTGGTAAGCAGCGTTGATCAAGGGCGCAGATGAGAGAGAAACCGGGTATTAGTTGAGCATTCAAACATACGCAAGCAGGTGGGCGCGACGAAGTAAGCAAAACCGGCAAAGCCTGGCCCTATTAGAAAAGGAGTCGCGCCGGCGTCAGCCAGCGAACCGACTGGTATCAAATGTACGTGTGACAACAGATGTTCAAGGGTGTGGCGGATTATGCACCAAAACGCAGTGAAAGTAGGGACCCGTGCTTGAGAACACGCTCCACCCTCTTTGGGCGGGTCTCAACACACCACAGACATGCTGAACTCTCGCCATATGTTTCCTTTACCAAAAGTTTTTCCATCTCCGAGCTCACTCAGATGCGAACTATGAAATTTTTCAGCAAGAGCCTGTCCATCTCGAAACCAGCCCGCCCATTTTTGAGATGGCTCCTCCACTACGTCCACTGCACTCCCTGTGCGTCCCAATCACCATGTTCCCCAGTGCCTATGCTGCTCTGCAAGTAATTCGTGAATTTTTGACCTTCGCCCGCCCACAACATCGACACAGCTCCACACGTAATAGACGCGTAAATCTCGCTACAATAGCGGAGCTCCTGCACACTTTTGCTCGTCTTTGCCGATGCCTGAAGTCTGCTACGGAAGCATTCTATTTTTCTGCATTCCGGTCCGCCCACCTAGCCGCACATAGGCGCTCCGCTCCCAACGGCATTGTGCCTGCCTGCATCACAAGCTGATTCATCCTGACCATCCACTTCCGTGTTTTGTCTGCCTCCGCCCACCTCGGACTGGCCCGCCCACAACATGTGCGCCCCACATTTCTCAATTGGCGACCCTTTGCTGACCTTAGTCCACTTTTTTTCCGGCTTCTGAAGTGCTCTGGATCAAGCTACAAATTTTTTGAATGTGCACCTATGAATGAGAGCAAGCTCCGCCCACTGTGGGCGGGTCTCAACACACCTCAGGCATGCCGAACTCTCCTCAGGTGTTGCCCTCCTACACCGACTTTATTTGCGATTTGGAAACTCTCTTAATGAATTTCTCGGGAAGCACCGCCTATCTCAGCCCTCCACCCATTTTGGGTATGTCTCCCCTAATTGGTTTGGCAACCCCTTGCTAACCTTATTCCACTTTTTCCCCATCTCTGGGCGGCTGAAGCGAGTTATGAGTTTTTTTTTTTGCGCTCACCGCCAATTTTCGGCGCGATGCAACGGCCCACTGGCCGTTGCTTACTATGGGTCACGGATGCTATTTACATCTTGTCCCCATGCCCTATCAATCCCCACCTTGACCCCACCTCTCCAAGTTGTTCTTCAGGTCGAACGCCGAATTTCCGGACAAACAAACAAACAAACAGACGAAGCAAATTATATATAGTGGGTGATCCTACTGAACACTAGCACACCAACCCAGAAAGTAGAGCGAGGTTTCACGAAAGAAAGTGAAAGGGAAGGATAAGGCGTTCAAAAAGAAGCCTTAGAAGGCTCGCGTAGCCACTGATACCCGTTTTCAACATCGACAAACAGAAACATACACACAGTGTTCAATACCCCCAATCACTTTGAGAAGTTCTAGTAGAATTTCGAGGTTACATAAACCAAGCATGTCTCAGTCCAAGAGACTGCAGCAAGAGTGTGAGCAATGAGCTGGCTCGCTTTTTTTGAAAACTCGTCTTATTCATAGCTTCCAACGACTACGAGTTCCACTCAAAAAACTCTTGTGTTGGTCGTCTGTACACTACCGTATCAATCGCTGGCAGTCTAGAGCATTTGTCAGCTTCAAGTTGTCGGTAGTAGTGCACATGCCCCACGGTCATTAGATGCGCAGACGCCGATTAGAAAATGGTAGTCCTGCCAGCGAGTATGAAGGAACCACTACCCACAGCTTACAAATACGTGCGTGAACCTTGCGACGAGGCCGTGGCTCCGACTCAGGGACACTTGTCACGGCAACTCCCGTCTTCTTTACTGCTACCTGATCAGTTGCGGCTCGTTCTGCCTACCACTCTCCGATTCGGATTCGGAGGTGAATAGGTTGAGGGAGAGGGAGCAGGAGGGAATGGAAAGAGAGAGAAGGAGAGATAGACGAGGTGGCACAAAGAAGTGGAACCGCGTGCGACCACCGCCGTTCCTGCGCGGCATATGCACGTATATGTACATTCAGCATAGGGTTCTATGCGGTGTTTTACAGGCGGCTGTTCCTGCTTTTTTGCCACTTTTATATTACCTACCCTCTTGCTCGTAGTACTGGGGCCGCGCAGGTTTAGAAACCAAGCCTGCCTTTGAGACCTGGAAAATGGGCGTGGATCGAAAAAAAGAGCAGCTGGCAATAATTGGCATGTTTATGTCTAGGAGTCACATTTAAAAAAAGATTTCATTTAAAGACTAAAATTGAAGCCAGCCAACAAATTAGTTTGTAGAACTTGCTAGCAACGCCTTTTGCACGATTAGCAACAAAACAAACCTGTTTCAAGTAGCGTTCAGGTAAGGTTCACAAAATCTTTGAAAACCTTACATAATTATCGAAACAGTAAACATGTGGCAACACAGTTTAGTAATAGAACAGTTGTGTTTTGTGACCATAAACACCTAGTTTTCCAAGAGAATAAAAGCAACACCTCTTAACCGGTGATACGGAAAGATGAAGCAAAGCGCTGAGGACTTTCACATGGGGTAACAACCGGTGAAGGACTTCCATATCGTTCCCTATCCGATTTACCTGTAATATTACTACTTAACCAGAAATTAGAATATCGAATGAGGTTCTTTTCGTGAATCCTGTACTACCCTGGTTGCAGCGCTGTACAACACTTTTATAGAGAGAGGGCGGGTATTACTTATGTGTGCCAATGTAGTAATGATTCATTCAATAATGCAGAAGTTTGTACTAGTTCGATTCATATCGCACCTTGCGTGCAAGCATAAAAATATCGAAAGTGAAGCAAATGAAAAAATATTCAAGGACATTTAATAGCGAATAAACATTATCTCAGTGAGTGCTCCAAATGGAGCTGAACAATGTGCCCCGAGATTCGTGTAAGATATTCAGACCAAAAACAATACGTCTCTATCTTAAGGGCAATTTCGAAGGCAGCTCTGGCACGATATTTTCTTGATTCCGCCAAATGCCTTAGTTAGGGGCGCTTATCATACTTGTGGAGAGGTATATGTCGTGTTGTGTGCGCCGAAAAAAAAAAAACGAAGTGAAACGGTCAAAAACCTGCGAAGAAAAACCTTTGCCCTTAATGACAATTTCGGACGAGTTTTCTGTGAACATCTTGTAACCGCTACTGTAGGTACGGCCGCATGCATGTTCCCATATATCCATGCACCGCAGCCGCTTCATACCAATGTCTCCGCTTCATATTTTACTTTGCAAATAAAAGCAATACGAGTCAGCCGTACGGTCCTCATTTGTGGGCGTGGCGGACGCTCGGGTCGTAATGTTGTAGCTCGATAGGGCCCTTCTGAGGATGCCTCCCTCAGAAAAGGCGCTACGCAGCACCTGCTTAGGGTCGCGGAATCCTTCCTGCCAGGCGGTATCAGTCCTACCCTTCTTAGAGATTTATCGTGCCAACTGCCTTTGAGGAATATCATGCGTCACCATCACTACTTATTATGATATCAATTCCCATCGATGACAACAGTTACAGGTGCGCAGTTCGACGAAAGGGAGGGGGGGGGGGGGCGGGAGTGGGGAGGGACACTTTGCACGTTTGCTACTTCCCATCGATGAGTCGAGTCATTAAGTGGACGTGAGATCTTGAACCATGAAACGCCAACATTTTTAGAGGTAACCTTTCAACTCTTGTTGAGCAATGAAATACAAATACCATTCACATGGTGACTGAACGAGCTTGCTCCAGCTCCACAAGAATTGACAAACTTCACCTGAACGAGGCCTGAAAACCGGAACTAGCGAAGATGCTGAATGCCCTTCCCCTTGTTGCCGAAGTGCGCCGTTACAGGCCTCTTCTACGGGACGTAAAGTCACACGAAAAAAAAGGTCGGGATATGGCTACGAACAGAACTCGTCTTGCCATAATAACTGGAGAGAGAAAATGCCCAACCCTCATTCGACATGAATGAACACTACCGTTTATATTTGACACTCCAGGATCTTTGAGATCAAATGCGGAAGTTAGCTCTCCATTGACGCCATGTTCCTGACCAAGCGTCAATGACTTTGTATCTTCCACGGGTTCAAATTCTACATTACAAGAAGTTAAGTGAGACGAAGTCGGCTTCAGCCCAAGCATGCGACAGAAGTCTGAAAGTGCAAATATGAGCGGAATACGGCTAATGTTCCAGATAGTATTGTTGTGGAAGTGGAGCTAGATTTTGGCACTGAATGATGTTTGGTACAGGAAACCCCTCCCCCTCCCTCCCTCCCTCCCCTTCATCACAGGCTCTATTGTACTTAACAGCAAGCGTCTATCGTGCAGATTACCGCGTCACCTCTCACGACACGCCATTGCAGCAGGCAAGATTTTTTAACCACCCAGTTCTCAGTGAAATGTCGTTCCGTTATGGACATTAGACATTTCTCATAACCTTGTTACGTAAAGACACAGGAGAACTAAAAAAAAACTAAACTCTATCTGATTTGAGTGCTCTCAAAAGATAGCACGGAATGCGTGTACGCTTCAAAAACAGTCTCCGCGATCAAACAGTCCGACCCCGTTATTTGGCATAGACCCGCACTCGCAGCGAGTGTACCACATTCATTACTCGAAGCGACGAAATAGAGACCACAGACGCATGTCTATACGCCCCTACTCTTTTCACTCTGCAAGACAACGGCTTACGCGCGGAATCACGTGTGTGCATTGTGCTGCTTGGAGCGTCGTAGAGTGATTTCCTACGCTCGTCGATGGGAAGCCTAGCTAGTGTACTATTTTGGAAGCTTACGAGTTGTTCTGCCCCCCCCCCCCCCCTCAATTTGTTTTTTTAAGAACAGTCCGTCAGGGGCAGTAAACTTCGCAAGGCAATATCGGTCTCGGCGCTGCTCAAGTTCAACAGCGATACAACTTGGTTTAGTCTGCATTCCTTACTGCGGTCCTAATCTCTGGACAGAGTACTGAAAGCTATTTTCTGCTCCTTTCATAACTGAACGCCAACTTGTCGTAACACAATCGCCAAAATCGTTTTTAAGATGGAATCCCCCTTGTCGTTGACGTACTGTGACACGTCTTGCAATGACGTTCTATAAGGTGTCACGAGCGTTGCCACACAGACGACTGTGGCCCTAGCATGTTTGAGCCGAAAAAGGAAAGTCGACACATACCAAGTGCCACTTATGTTGGTAGTTCAAACAAACACTGTTTACTTTGCTACTACTATTACTACTACTAATTACTACACACCTGCATGGTCTTTCAGATAATTCAAACTTGCAAGAGATGCCTAGTGCCTATAAGGAACCTACATTCTACTGAAAAATTAGCCATATTTTCTTCACCAAGGAAAAATTCGCTGCGTTTCAAAAGTGTCAGCTGCTTTGCAGCTCTACTGCTGCAGTCAAGGCGCTGACGTTAGAGAGATTTTCTGGTAATGTCTCCTTACCGATATGTTACCCCTCACTGAGCTTTCCCAACAATTTGCCGTCGAGCAGAAGGGTGCGCACACTCGATCAACCGCACAGAAGTAGTAGTTGTTTTGCTGGCTTTCGACTTCGCGGGAGGGTATAGAGAGCGCAAGGTAGGGGAAAAAATCAACTATCACAGAGCTTTATACGAATGAAATAACACCCTCGTAACTTCCAATGACGAGATACGACCCCCGTTCGAGATCACCATCAAACGGCGGGCCCTGTCTGGAGTGACGCGTCGTGAAACGTGCGATTACATTCCATTACAACCCAGCTCATCATAGGAGTAGACGATTGCAGCCCTTTAGCACCCATGAACACATGCAATCATATACTGACGCCTTAGATGCTACATGCCGACTTCTCAATGAACATTAATCTCACTTCTCTCTATAGCTTCGGTACATCCTGGGTTGTCCACTTCCAACTCTATTTTACACAAATATGACGAGTCCGCAACCTGAACATGTTGCGAAATTCAATTATTCCGCTGTTAGGATGCCGGGTTCATAACTTTGCGTCAGCGTTTACAGCGACTAGTAAAGCATAGGGATTGATCTAATATTTCGAGCGTACGGCAGTAAGGAATGCTCGCGAAAAGCCCAAAACTATCTCTGTGACGTTCAAAACGGCTAGATCGATATCTATGCTGCCCTGGTCGCTCAAAACGCAGAAGCAAAGTATAAACGCACTTTTATTCGTCAGTGATCAAAATGCCTAGGACAACGGTAATAGTACTGCCTGCATTGATCGTGTCTCTTACCTTTTCAAGAACAGCACTCATCAAGCGTTCACTTCTCCTAGCTAGATCCAGCTTCCTTTCACTCAACCGATGAATCAAACGATATTTCTAGAAGATAAACACGAAGTGAACAGAAAAAAACGTAAAACAATACAAGCATAGAGGCAAACGCACATCTGCAAGTTCCATTCAAAATTCTATCTCTCATAGGTTGAGAAGTTTCCCTAACCTCCATAATTCGCTTAGCTGCATATTTACATTCCAGTCGAAGTCCTGAAATGGTCGAAAATAACTAGTTTTCCATGTACAGCAAATCCAGCGAAACTTGCCAGGGATGTCCGCTAAGTTACCATGGAACTGGATCGATAGTCTATAAGGTTATTTACAAATATAGATAGCAAAACTGCAACCTGCATTTCACAAGCAACTTATGAGCAGGTAAAGTTTGTAATGGTGCAGTAGGGTGGAGGCTTGGTGGTGAGCTGTGAAGCATAAGCGAGGAATCGCATACGTCGAATCGAGTCGTGGTGGTTCAGTGGTAAGGTTCGACGTTCGACGACTCGACGTATGCGATTCCTCGCTTATGCTTCACAGCTCACCACCAAGCCTCCACCCTACTGCACCATTACAAACTTTACCTGCTCATAAGTTGCTTGTGAAATGCAGGTTGCAGTTTTGCTATCTATATTTGTAAATAACTGTATATACTCTATCGATCTATCCAGGTCTCCATTCAAAGTTCCATAGCGACTTCACTGGTTAGAGCTAGCAGCTTCAACTACCACAAAAAACCATAAGAATAACGCTCACTTTCTACATCATTGTCCCATTTTCTCATCTGTTCAAATCTTCTGCCAATCTCCTCTGGTAGGTCTTCGACCACTGAAATGAACAAATGGCGTATCCATCGTATTTCTTCGAACATAGTGCACTTTTCCCTCAAGCGGACCCGTTGCCATAAATCAAGCCATAATTCTAGGCACACTGAGCATTTTGTCGCCGAACAGCCAAGCTTATATATGTCACACATATGAACCCTAAGAAACGCCCCAAAGTAACACAAACAACTCTGAGACGATTTTCTTTGAGAATGTAGTCTTATAATCTACAAGAGTTTGAGCTCAGCGGAAAGCACCGTTCACACCTGACGATGCTGGGGAGTCGAAGAACACGCGATAGAGGTGAGACAGTGCTAAATGGCCACTCCAAACTGGAGAAGTAGATGAAGAATCGATATGTACTTAACATTTATCCGCGGATTCACTCTTTCTCCAGTTTATAGTAAGAGTGCGGATAACTTACGAAGGACAACATAGAACAGTCAGAAATTAAGATGGTTTGAATCGAAATGTTCTTAAATTAGTTGTTTTCTTCTCTGGTATGTTGTCACATAGACTTGGTATTTGTCAAAAAAATCATTTAGAATGCAATCGCATTATGTACATCACCATCTCGCTTGGCAAACGAACAAAGAGGTGAGCTGCGTACGGCCACACTGATACTTTGCGACTCGGAAGATCGACGAGTGGAGATTGAGCGATCCGGCGATTCAATAGAATCAGCGCTTCCGGCGATTGCGCACCCAGGGAATGGATGGGTATCAATCGGCACTCGCCGCTAACGATCGCGGAGATTAGGATCCGATGATCTGAGAGTGTTAGCATTCAAATGAGGCGCGCAATCGCGAAAACTCAGAGTGCCGAATCGCGGAATCGCTCAATCTCCGCACCGAGTCGCAAAGTATGAACGCGGTCTAGAGCTGCGTGCATACCTTGCCACACTGGAGAGTAGGGAATCGTGGAGTTGGGGTAATCGGAGAATCCATGAAATGAAAACGTGTTGATTCCGAGGACCGTAGAATTAAAGATCCGGCAAATCGAAGACTGCTCGAAAAAGAGGTATAGACTGATTCGCAGTTCGGTGAAGTCGACAGCGCGTATTTAGCCCATTTTCTAGCACATTCTCTTATCCGCCGATTATCCAGTTCTTCGACTGTTTTGATATTTACATATACTTTCCTTTCATAGAACTTTCCCGATTCTCCCACTTCTGTAATCAGCCGATCCAGCAGTGTCAAAAGGTACACTACCTATCCTAGAAAAAGGGTGGGCGTAGCTGCGTACTTCGTGTAAACATGACATAGAATGCGTTTTTTTCTTGAGTATTTCCATTTAAAAGAAGTTACTTTGTCAATTTTGCCAAGTCAAAGTTACCCCCAGTGCATAGAAAGCGCCACCTTGAAATGAAGTACGCGGCAACGCCCACTCTATCTACAGGATATGGGGCATATAAAAACAACCTAGGGTGGGACGGATCTCAAAAGTATAATTGTGGTCAAGCAGCATCCAACAGCAGTTGTTGGTGATCAGTCTTAACAAAGCATACTTAGCATTTATAAGATTTCATACTTAATTATGTACGAATGTAACGACGAAAAAGAATTTCAGTCCAGTATTTTAGGCGTATTTTTCCATGATAAATATAGATAGCAAACGTTCCCAACAGGACTCACATTCTATGATATCCTCCAGATATTGCATCGTGGAAGACTAGTAATACGCTGAAATAAAGCCCGTTATTGACATACGAATCCATTCACCTACAACAGTTACTGCATACATTAGCATGACATTACCTTTGGAAATCTCCTTTATGAGGAAAGTCTCGACCGAAAAAAGATGTCACATGCTCTAAATGAACAGTGTGGTCATACGCAGTTGCTCCAACTCAGCTGATTCCATAAAAAGAGGAAATGAAAGAAAAGGTCCTCTTGTCGAGATGAAAGGAACCAATTCAATGTGATAAATAAAATGGCTAGACAAATAACCTTTGAGGTAAGGATGAGGAATACTTCCATACACAAGAGACCACGAATAACAGACCAGGTTTCAATAATGGTGACTTGAAAGAGAGGTCGACGTCATTTTGATGGTAGTGCCCGTAATTACGGGAAAGCAGTCATACAGTCCGAGGAGAACATTGAAACGAAAAACCAATGATCACTAACCTGATCTTGAGGTGGCCAGTAAGATTTGTATTGGGAGACTCACTAAAAAACCAGAGATAATTGCTGCAATATTTTTTTGCAAATAAAACAAAGGACAACATTACTGGAAAAACCTAGGATATAATTTATTTGTGGCAATTGTAGTTCAGTGAAATCATACAAGATCTACAAGTTAAAATAGGTTATGACAGGATTGCTCCCGTTATAACATGATATTGGTAGGGCCCTTTGGACCGATAAGCGTCATGATAAGGTCTCGAGCGGCGAGTAGCCATAAATTATGCTCTGATAAGCTTTTGACATGAATAGCTTTTCAGAACCTGCCCCTCCGCAGTCGCATAGCGCTGTAAAAGTGTATTGACTAAAACTGCACTATTGACCTATTTGACGCTAACGTAGTTGGTGAGGTTTATCCTTAGCCAACTACATTAGCGCCACCCGCCAGCAATCCGTACAGGGCACACCATCGTTGTGGAGACCCCAATAGGAGGGGTCGTAATGATGGGGGCTATCAGCACCAAGCAGCATAGACCCGTCAGTAGCACCCAAAAAACCGAAAATCAAAATGAAAACAACTAACAGGATCAGAAAGTTCACATACCATCCGTAAGAACGTCAGCCCTTATCCCTGAGACGGAGTAGGCGAGGCATTGAACACGGCGCAGGATTAGTTACTCGTGGGATGTCCCAATTCGAGACAACTGTCATCTTATTCTGGATCTAGGGACATGAACATTATTGTGTCATAATGAAAATATCTCTCCAAAGCCACAGCCACCGCCGTGTGAAGTTGAAGTGAGCACCCACACCATCTCAGGGATTTCGAGTGCCCGAATGGCTGAACAGTACAACGTAAACAAGTCCGAGGGTATGTCATACACCCTTTTTGAACCCTATGAACACATTTGCTGGGGTGGACACGCACTAGGCAGCGTTCAGACCTCGCGACGGCAGCGCTTGCGTTCGACGTGATCGATCGCGCCTGCGTTCCACTACGTCAATCGCGCAGGCATACGATTGCGTAGCGTGTCTGGTTCAATCGCGCTGATGCCAGAATCAAGTGGACCGCTGCACCTTTAACAATGTATTAGGTTTCGAAAGCGTATTAGTACTGAAATACAGAGCAATTACCCACTATAGTATATAATTTGCTTCGTCTGTTCGTTTGCTTGTTTGTTTGTCTGTCCGGGATTTCGACATTGAGAGTGAATTTTAGAGGTTGTTTCAAGGTGTGGAAGGGTAGGGCATGGGACAAGAAGTAAGGATCACACATGACCGAAGCCCCATTCTCAGTAGGCGGGGAATGCGCCGAAGCTGGCGGTACCCAGACAAAAATTCATAATTCGCTTCCGGAGCAGCCCAGAAATGAGAAAAAGTGGAATAAGGTTAGCAAGGGGTTGCCAGACTAACTGGGGGAGACACACCCAAAATGGGAGGGGTGTACTCGAGGTGAGCGGTGCTTCCCACAAAATTCAGTAACTCGGTTCGCGAGAGTGTTTAGATGGCAAAAACTCGATGCAGACGGTCAATATCTGGCGAGTGTTGGGCACGTCTAATGTGTATTGGGACCACCCACAGTGGGCGAAGCTAGCCCTCAATCGCAGGGCATTCATTTCAAAAGTTTGAAGCTCGGTTCCAAAACACTCCAGACACCAGAAGAAAGTGGACCAGGGTAAGCGAGGGCTAGCCGATCGAGAAATGTGGGGCACACATGTTATGGGCGGGGTCTGCTCTGGGGCGGGCGGAGCCAGACAAAGAAGCTGCAAACGGTTCTGAAGCACTCCAACACCAGAAAAAAGAGGAGCAAGGTAAGCGAGGGCTAGCCGCTTGAGAAATGTGGGGCATGTAGCGGGTGGGGCTTGCCCCGTTGTGCGGGGCCAGATAATAAGTCTGTGAAACGGTTCCAGAGCACTCCAGACAGTGGAAGTAAAGTAGGGTACGGTCAGCGAAGGGTCGCCGGTTAAGAAATTTGGGGTACACATGTTTCAGGCGAAGCCGCGTGCCGCTGAGCGGGGCCGGACAAAGAGTCTGTAAAATGGTTCCAGAGTTTCCAGACACCTTCAACATGTGAGCAGAGATGTGGAAGCTCAACTATTGAAGCGAGATAGACGCCCATTGCGGGCGGAGCATGGATCGAAGTGAGCGGAGAGAGAGAGAGAGAGAGAGAGAGAGAGAGAGAGAGAGAGAGAGAGAGAGAGAGAGAGAGAGAGAGAGAGAGAGTCGAGAATTCACCACTCGGTTGCGGAGAAGCAGGCACCGTGGAGAAGAGGATTGAGGTCCACACGAGGTTAGTGGACGAAATGGGGAAACATCACCAAAATGGATGGTCCTTGCTGAGAAGATGCTCGGTGCTTGCTACAAAATGTAACAGTTTGGATCTGTTTGAAGAGGTCAAAAAATTGTTGGGGAAGAGAAACACATAGAGTTGAGTATGTCTGTGGTGTGCTGACAAGGGTGGTTTCTTGCATGATGTAGGGGTCCATGCGAGGTCTGCAGAGGTGTGGTTCATTTTTGTTAAACACTATTGGGAATGCCAAAAAGGAATAAAAAGAAATTGCTCGGAACACGCAGATTTTATTACCTCATTCGGCTCTGTTTTAGCTGTAAAGCTGAGTACATATAGTTTACCAGTCGGCTCGCCGGCTAACGCCGGCGCGCCTCCTTCTGATACGGCCCGGCTGCGCCGCGCGTATTTCTTTCACATATTTCTAGACTCAACTGATATCCGCCTTTTGTTCTGTACTCCACTTTTTTCCGGTGTCTGAAGTACTCTTGAGCTATTTCACAGATTCTTCGTCTGACTCCGTCCACCTCGGAGCAGACCCCGCCCACAATGTTTGTGCCCCACAATCCTCACCGGCGACCCTCTGCTGACCTTAATCCACGTTTTTTCCGGTCTTTGAAGTGCTCTGGGACAGTTTTAGAGAATTTTCGTCTGGCTCCGCCCACCTCGGGCTGGCCCCGCCCACAATATGTATACCCCACATTTCTCAATCGGCGACCCCTTGCTGACCTGAATTCACTTTATTCCGGTCTTCGGAGTGCTCTGGAACTATTTTACAGATTTTTCGTCTGACTCCGCCCAAACCGGAGCAGGCCCCGCCCACAGTGTTTGTGCCCCACAGTCCTCACCGGCGACCCTTTGCCGACCTTGATGCACGTTTTTCCGGTCTTTGCAATGCTCTGGAACCGAGCTACAAACTTTAAAAATGAGTATCCTGCGATTTAGGGCAAGCTCCGCCCACTGTGGGCGGGTCTCAACACACTTTGAGCGTGCCCTATATTCGCCGGATATTTACATTCTACACTGAGTTTTTTGCGACTTCCAAACACTCTCGCGAACTGAATTTTGCGAGAAGCACCGCCCATTTAGGGTGTACCTGCCACAGTTAGTCTGGCGACTCCTTACTAACCT